TACACTCAGATCACTGTTATTGATGATTTGTTTTATTTCATATTTTTCTAAAAAATAATGTAACAGTCCTGCAAGGTATGCTTTTCTTTTCCGAAGTAATTGATGATCTCTGTATTCTCAAGAGAAGTGGCTATTAATTATTACCTCACGAAGAAATGTAAGATCACTTTTTTAAATCTTTTATTGGTTCATAATCTTAAAATGAAAAAAAAGCACCCCAGGATTAGCGAAAATTCAGAAGAAGGCAGTGAGGTTCAACGGTTAAAAAGCATCGTTTGTGAAGTTTAAAAAAAAAAAAAAAAATTGTCCACAATATATCTCTTTCTTGAGACCTGGTGAAAATGAAAAATTAGTATTATAATCTTTCAGATATATAAAACAACAGTTTTATCACAGGTCAGAACCATCAGGTACCGGTATATGGTAAGAAATTAAATTAATTAAATCCCTCTGTTTCAAGGCCACCCGTGTGTACTGCGGAACAGCTTGTCGAGTGAGACAGACTGAAGCTTTCCTGGTCTTCTGAAAGCTGTTACACATCTGGGCCCAGCCTGATATGTAAATTTCTATAATTCATGTTTGGTGTACCTGTGTGTGGTTACATCTGTTCTTTATTTCCTGTTTATACATGTAATGCTTACGGTCTGTTTTTGTCCACACAATTTTATGCTCTTCATATTCCCCCCATTTGAATTAATTCATGCATACTTTGCATTACAGTTTATACTGTTAACCCTTTCACCACTGTAGACCATAATGGACTCATCTGGATTAATGCATGGTAGAGTCTACTAAAGTTCCATAGGGTTGAAAGGGTTCAAGTCTGTTATGTATAATACATTATATATATACATCTATACATGTAGTGTTCTTTGTCATTGTATATTATGCTGTATTTACATTGTACTAAGTCAAATTTTACTTTATGACATATTGATATATATATATAGTATAAATGACTTATGTCTCTAACTCTAACTTTTATGTGCCGCATGAGTTCTATGTTTGCATGACTTAAAGTGAGGGGCCGCGGTGGCCAAGTGGTTAAGGCGTCTGACATTCTGCTACCACAAGTCAACTACTGGGTCGTAGGTTCGAGGCCTACGTGGGGCAGTCACCAGATACTGGCCATAGGTTGATAGTTTTCCCCAGGTACTCTGGCTTCCCCCACCACCAAAACCTGCAGGCACGTCCTTAAATGATCATAGCTGTTAATAGGACGTTAAACACTAACAAACCAAACCAAAACCTGCATGCACGTCCTTAAATAACCATAGCTGTTAATAGGACGTTAAACACTAACAAACCAAACCAAACCCTGCAGGCACGTCCTTAAATGATCATAGCTGGTAATAGGACGTTAAACACTAACAAACCAACCTAAAACCTGCAGGCACGTCCTTAAATGATCATAACTGTTAATAGGACGTTAAACACTAACAAACCAAATCAAAACCTGCAGGCACGTCCTTAAATGATCATAGCTATTAGTAGGACATTAAACACTAACAAACCAAACCAAAACCTGCATGCACGTCCTTAAATACCCATAGCTGTTAATAGGACGTTAAACACTAACAAACCAAACTAAAACATGCAGGCACGTCCTTAAATGATCATAACTGTTAATAGGACGTTAAACACTAACAAACCAAATCAAAACCTGCAGGCACGTCCTTAAATGATCACAGCTGTTAGTAGGACGTTAAACACTAACAAACCAAACCAAACCCTGCAGGCACGTCCTTAAATGATCATAGCTATTAGTAGGACATTAAACACTAACAAACCAAACCAAAACCTGCAGGCACGTCCTTAAATGACCATAGCTGTTAGTAGGACGTTAACACTAACAAACCAAACCAAAATCTGCAGGCACGTCCTTAAATGATCATAGCTGTTAGTAGGATGTTAAACACTAACAAACCAAACTAAAACCTGCAGGCACGTCCTTAAATGACCATAGCTGGTAATAGGACGTTAAACACTAACAAACCAAACTAAAACCTGAAGTGCTAATAAAGTATCCCTGTCATGTCCCTCTACACTCTGGTTTTCTTGATATATATGCAGTAGTGACCTCCCCTTAAATTTGTTTTGTATATTTGGCCAGGGCAGTTTCGTTGACCATGTAGCTGAGTCGGTTAGACGATAATATAGCAATGTTCATTGTTGATTATGTTTTGTTTATTTCATCTTTAATTATTTATCAAAAAAATCATGAAAGTCCTGCAGTTTTTCATAGTGGCAGACAGATCCTTAAGTGCTTTTATCTTGTTGTTTGTGATGCATACTGTGAGTTAAAATTACTCAATCGAAAAAAGAAACCCAAACTTTGACTGCTGGATAACCAAACTACTCGGTAGTGAAGCGGACGTAAAACCTCTCAAATAAACAAACCAGAAACACAACAGTACGTTGGTTACCACTGACTGTGCTGTTGGTCTACCACTGACGGTACTGTTGGTCTACCACTGACCGTGCTGTTGGTCTACCACCGACGGTCCGGTTGGTCTACCACGGACGGTGCTGTTGGTCTCCCACTGACGGTACTGTTGGTTTACCACTGACGGTGCTGCTGGTCTACCACTGACGGCGCTGTTGGTCTACCACTGGCGGTGCTGTTGGTCTACTACTGACGGTGCTGTTGGACTACCACTGACGGTGCTGTTGGTCTACCACTGACGGTACTGTTGGTCTACCACTGACGTTGCAGTGACAAGCACACTGCATGCAATGGTTGATGACACACATACCCAGACGCTTCTTAATGACACGTTCGAGGGCCATTCACGTTGTTTCAAGCAGATAGCTATCAACGGGTATGCTCCGGAGTCGAGTCAATCGTTTTTGCTAGGCCGAGTTTCCTCTGGCCCTGACACAAGACTTAGACATTTTGACAAATAGATGTCTTGTGCATCTATCTGTCAAAATGTCTAAGTCTGGTGTCAGGGCCAGAGGAAACTTGGGCTACCATTTTGTTAAAATCTGTGTTTTGAATAAGGAAAGACCTCAGCAAAAGTCTGTAAGGACTTTCTTGCAACATATAACATCGTCCCTATTGAATGGCCTTCATATAGCCCTGATTTGTCCCTAATTGAGCACTTACAATATGGGATAAAGTAGTCTGAGGGGAATTTGGACGTAAAACGCAAACAAACTAACAAATTTTGTAATCAACGTAATTAATAATGCCACAGCACAGATACCGCAACATCCACCCCAGACCATCTTATACTCCACCTGGGTTGTTGGAGTTGTGTTGACAGGAGAAAAACACATTCTCTGAACATTCCATGCGTACAACGACTTCGGGGATGGAACCCCGACAGCCTCCTTGGAAGGCCGGAGTGTTAACCATTCGACCAATGACTCATTGGACACAAACACAGTATTAGGGAATGGTTCCATAACTGTCATTTATCACTCTTAGTAACATAAGAGTACTTTTATTTCATGTAATTGTTAAAAATCCCTACAAAATTGTAGACAGTTATATTTCAATAAAATTAATATTGAAAGACTTTTTTTAAGTGAATTGAATTATTACATAGATCTGAAATGTAGACATAATTGCCCAAAAACATTACTTTGTACATAAACCCTTACATATGAAGTTGTATTTCTTTTTCGTTTCAGTATATTTGTTGTGTTTTATATTCAATATTACATATGTATATCCATATTGTTATCATTGTAAAAATATCACTAGAGAAAATATTAATTTGTTAAAACACAAATCTAAATGAAATTTCTTGTTCCCTATGTCATATTTTCTCATTCAATGATTGTCTTTCGTATTGGTGTCGGTAGCCGTGATCGCTTAAGCGCGCTCAGTCATTTCTACTATTTGCAATCAAGCATGAGCTTCAGACCACTCACTCTCCCCAGAATTTTGGTTTGATCCCCAGCGGTGGCAGATAAAGAGTGCTGTCTGGTAGGGTTTGAGAAGTTGTTATCCCTCAGATCAGGCATGGTAGTGTAAGTTCCCCCTTGGGTTTGCCTCCACCACGAAAACAAGTTGTTCCCTTAGCGGTGTCGTAATAAAAGCCCTACAGAGCTTAATTATGTTTGTTGTTGACAATGTACACGAAGTTAAATAAAGATTATTTATTTTATAATATTTATTATTATTGCATTGCCAAAATTTAGGCATTTTAGTCTTATGGGTTTGTTATTTTTCCGTTTCAGGCCAGGTCTAGGTCATTGTCCTTCTTCGTTTTTTTCCCCTATATGTACATTCATGGAAATTGTGTTCACAATATCAATTAAGATGAGTTCTTACTAAAAAGCGATTTTATCATTTAATAGCTATTCCCAATCCCTGGAGGAATTTGTAACAGAATAACTTATTTCCTTTGTCTCTTGTCTTGCTGATTTGTGTTGGCGATTATTATGTTTGGGGGTCATTATACCTTCTCTGTATACTAGCCTATTAGGTCAATCGAGGTTAGAGTTGAGAATCATACATAAGTTTGTGGGTGACAGCTGTAAAACCACGGATACTGTAGACCTGCCTCGTCTGTCAGTACACACATATTATATTATGGGTGTATTGACAAACGAGGCTAGTACCTGTGGTAAAAGCATGCATACATTAGTAGCTGAATCCCTCCTCATTAAATCCATTTTTGGTCTCTGTGTCAGTGTGTGTATATATATATAGATTAGTATCAAAACGATCAAAAAAAGAAACAACAAAGAGTATCGAGGTTATTAAATACGTAATTAGGACCTAACACGTTAAAGAGTTTGTATTACACACACACATGCACACACGGTATGCCTTATATAGGTAACCAGAACAGTGAAGCCTCTGTAGGTCGTCAGAAACACTCTGATAATAAATAACAATAGAATCAAATATTTAGGCCTAGTCAAAAGAATTTTGGAAGTCCAGAGTCAGAATGTCGATGCATCCAGCAGCATGCTACGTAATATACTGATAGCTTCTAACAGTGGATATAGCGCCAAACGGAGGCATTAATTATCGTCCTTACCTCACCACCTTTCCGTTTCCCCTCCATCCTTTGTCAACACGTGTTGCTTCGATGTATTTTACAACAGATGTTTACCTGGAGTGCAACCGAGGGCTTCTCGTGATCGTAAAAATAGTCACCAATCAAAACACGGGATTAGCGAGACAAATCGGGCGATGACGGTCCCAACACATACTAGTCGGATTACCTCCCCTGATATCTTAATACAAGCCATAAAATACAACAGCTTGAGTTATCACCAACATGATCTTCTTTAGACAAACAGATCGATTTGAAATCAATATGGAACGACTATAGATGTTTTTTGTTGTTAATGTTCACCAGTAGTGTGTTGTTCAGGTTTAAGATGAATAAAAAGATGAATAAAAATTCATCTTTTTATTCATCTTAAACCTGAACAACACACTAATGGTGAATATTAACAACACACTAACGATGAACCTAAACAACACACTGATGGTGAACCTAAACAACACACTGATGGTGAACCTTAACAACACACTAATGGTGAACCTTAACAATACACTAATGGTCAACCTTAACAATACAATAATGGTCAACCTTAACAACACACTAATGGTCAACCTTAACAATACACTAATGGTCAACCTTAACAATACACTAATGGTCAACCTTAACAANGTGAACATTAACAACACACTAACGATGAACCTTAACAACACACTGATGGTGAACCTTAACAATACACTAATGGT